CCCGCCCGCTGCCCCCATCGCCTCCCCAGCCGAACAGGCGGGCATGGGGAGCAGGACGGGAGGCAGCAGCTCCCGGCCGCCGCCCCCATCGCCTCCCCAGCCGAACAGGCGGGCATGGGGAGCAGGACGGGAGGCAGCAGCTCCCGGCCGCCGCCCCATCGCCTCCCCAGCCGAACAGGCGGGCATGGGGAGCAGGACGGGAGGCAGCAGCTCCCGGCCGCCGTCCCCATCGCCTCCTCAGACGAACGGGCGGGCATGGGGAGCAGGACGGCAGGCAGCGCCTCCCGCCCGCCGCCCCCATTGCCTCCCCAGCCGAACGGGCGGGCATGGGGAGCAGGACGGGAGGCAGCAGCTCCCGGCCGCCGTCCCCATCGCCTCCTCAGACAAACAGGCGGGCATGGGGAGCAGGACGGGAGCCGCTGCCCTCGCTGCATCCTCAGCCGAACGGCCAGGGCGGGGGAGCAAGACGGGAGGTAGCGGCTCCGCCGGCGGCCACTGCAGCATCGTCGGGGTCCCTGCCCGGCCGCCGCCCCTGCTGCATCCTCAGCCACTTCGCCGCCGCAAGAGGAGGGCTCCAAGGCCGGGTGCACCATGGGCGGCCGCGCCGGCAACAAGGAGTGCTTCCGTGGGGACAAGGGGGGGTCCTGATCGCTGCCAGCCCTGCTGCCCTCGCAGCCCAAGGTCTCCTTCTCCTGCAGCACCGAGGGCGGTGGCGGCTCCCCGAAAGTGGCCGAGGAAGGCGCCACCGGTGGGGCCGAGGTGGGGCCGGGCGGCAGAGAGCCCTGCGGCAGCCAGGCAAGCTTCATGCCTGACTGCTGTCCGGCCCGGCCTGGGGAGACATGTGGCTTGCTCGGCTTCCCGGGGAGCGATGCCCCCGCCGGCCGCCAGCCCAGCCATGATTGCCGCCCGGCCCGGCCTGGGGAGACATGTGGCCTGCTCGGCTTCCCGGGAAGCGATGCCCCTGCCGGCCGCCGTCCCAGCAATTGCAAGGGCTTGCATGGTCCCCAAGGGCCGCTGACGCGCTCCCCGCCGCCGGCGACCAAGCAAGCCCTTGCAACTGCTCCAGACGAAGAAGCAAGCGGCTGGGAGACCGCGGCGGCGCCTACCTCCTGCGCCCGTCAGCTGGCATCAGCAGGCGCGGTGCGGTGGGAGGCGGCATTCGCTCCATAAGACGCACAGACATTTTCCCCCATCTTTTTTTGGGGGGAAAGTGCGTCTTATGGTGCGAAAAATACGGTATACTGTATACTTGCCAAGTGTAACTCTTTTTTTTTTTTTTTTTTTAAGGAGGACCAAATTGTTTTCCCCATCCTGTAAAGCCACATCACAATCCGCTTTGGAAATTTTCTCCTGTGGCTCCTGCCTTAGGTTTAATTAAGTTACTATATATTGTTTTTCTTTCATCACTAATATCTACTGAATATCCCACTTTATTTTACCATTTCAATCAGAAGAACAACAGAAATCTAGTTACTCTTTTAAAAAAACATAACAGCTACATACAAGAAAGACACAATATATTAGATAGCAATAAAATGAAAAAAGTAAAATAAATTAAGCCACTGTGATAAATGACTCTAACTTAATATTATTAATGCAAGAATGGGACATATAGGTACAGTCAGAAAGAAACCCATATTTCCATTAGTTTTTTTCCCTTTTCTGAGCATTTCATTCCATTCCTCCATCTCCCGTTCTGATTGGGAAGCAACTAATTTCAAGAATCCAGCAAGAAGAACTCTGCCTTGCAGAGTATAGAGTGAATAATCTTAGCTTAGACTATTCCTGTAAAGAGAAGAAAATATGATTCCCTGCTTCACTCTTTATGAAAAGGGACCAAGGGACAAGCCCAACAATTTCCAGTCCCCTGACCAATATTTTTTCTGTCTCCTCTAAAACATTAGATGGACTAGATTGCACCACAATCAAACTTTGTTTCCATTATCCCTTAAAATGGGATACTTGAGGCAGTGCAGTGGCTCAGCAGTTAAGATTCTGGGGCTTGTTGGCTGGAAAGCTGGCAGCCCAGGTTCGAGACCCAAGTGCCATGCTACTGGGTGAGCTCCTCTCCTCGCACTGGCTCCTGCCAACCTAGCAGTTCGGAAGCATGCAAATGTGAGAAGATAAATAAGTGCCACTTTGGTGGGGAGGTAACAGCGCTCCTTGATGTTATGCTGGCCACATGACCCAGAAATGTCTTCTGACCGTACTGGCTCAATGGCCTTGAAACAGAGATGAGCACTATCCCCTATAGTTGGCAACCACTAGCTGAATAAAATCCACAGGGACTCCTTTACCTTTTTTATCCCTTTATCTCTTTTTTATCCATCATTTAGCCAAAGTTAAATAGGTTGTGACTAAATGTATGCACATGCCTGTAAATGTTTCAGTTTACACACCAATTTATTTTTATATTTTTGTAAAAATAATATTCCTTCCTATGTAATATGAATATCACTTTAAACTACCATTTTTTCATTTCCTAAATCCTTCAATAGTGTGTAAAGTTAATCTGTGTTTGTCCTCACCAGTCTATCTTGAAATGCAGAGAACCTCACACAAGCCAACAGTGTTCCTTTCCAGCTGATCAACTCCAAACTAATCTAATAACAGAGATGATGGCAAATGAATATTGAGCAGACTTCAGGATAGCACAATGCTATACTAGAGTACCTTTATGTCTACATTTAAAATGCATGTATTTTAACATTAACACTTAAACAGTCAAAATTCTTAGGATAATTGTTGTAGAGGCATTATTTCTATCATAAACACTACATTTTTCTAACAACATATATTTGAATCACTGCATGAGATCTTAATAAGAAAAGAGATATAATGTGAAAGATACATTCTAAAACATGCAGTGGTCAATGATTTAAGAGATTTATAAGTCTACATCAGCAACTGGATTTGACATAGAGGCCAAATTAATTATTATGTAAATTTATTCACTGTCCATCTCAGTATCCAGCAACTCTGGGTGACTTACAGTGAAATAAAGATGACAATATAAAATATTAAAAATATAAATAGTAAGATTAAAATTAATGAAAAACAGCTGAGGAAAAAACAATGTACAACAGGGGTAGAGGTGGCATCTTCTTTAATCTATAGTAAATATTTTTTTATCTCCATCATACTCATTGTGAGAAGTGCCAATAAAAGCAATTCACAAATAAAGGCAAATATAAGTGTCTCTGAATAATGTTGCAGGATCCAATCTGGGTTGGTCCCCAGAATCAGAGGTTTAGTCTTCCGAGCTTTTAGACTCATGATGGAGCCCATTCTTCAGGGAATTTCTCTCTACCAGAATATGGAATCTTAGATGTATGTATGTTTGTGTGAATGTAGAGAGAAGTTCCCTGAGGATAGGCTCCAGCATGAGTTTGAAAGCTCAGAAGACTAAACCTCTGATTCCAGTGACAGTCCCAGATTGGATCTTGCGAAAAAGCAACTGTTAACTTCAGTTATAAAGAGTATCACCACTCCATCTATTTTTTTGTTCGCAAATAGTTTCAGCAACTACAGCAATAATTCCTATTCTTTCAACTTAGACACATTTGAATATTCTCTTTCAATACTACCATACATATAACAAATAGTACTAAACATAATACTGATTCAATATTTTAATTGGCTTGGCACAATTATTTCCACAGGACTACTTTTTTAATGTGTTTTGATAAAGAAAAATGAGATAAATTAAGACAAAACCTGTAACACACAATTAGTACTTGTGACAGAATAATAAACTGTTCAGAAACATAATATCAAAAAATTATGGGATCAACAAACCAGAACTTGACCATTTATCTTCAGAAGAGATAATCTGGACATCTTGCCTTTGTGCAACACTACCAAGTATGTATATAAAGATCTGAATCACCTCTTTCCCTTTGACTTATTAAATATATCCACACATTAAATATGAAAACTAACATTTCAGCATAGAAAAGAAGAATCTCATGCATGGATATCCCCATATTTACACCATTCAGGCAAAAGCAGTTTAAATGAATTTATTTCAGAAGTCATTAAAGTAGAATTGTATATCTGTGTGACTTTCAGCTGAACTTACTGGTTAGCTTGAAGGCAGCTTGAAATGATCATCTGGGGTACATTAACCTTTGTATTAGTCTATTTTTATTTTTGAAATATGGCAGTCACTGATCACATTTAGACAAATGTTAGTTCAAAGTGGTTTTATTCTCTAATCCACTTTTTATTGGTTAGAAAGAAAACATAATGGATCATGTTAAATGTTACAGAAATACATACCATTCTAAAAATATTTGGCATCAAAATTCCACTAGCATATTTATTCAGTGGTTATTTTGGAATTTCTGAAGGAAACCCTTTTTTTATAACCATTTTAGCAGGAAATTTAAACAATCTCACCAAAGCTACATTCCTTTTTTTCTGAACCGGGTGGACATAAATGTATATCAAACAACTTACCTGACAAAAGCATAGGTTGGTGAAAGTCTAGGTCTGTGTTTAGAGACATACGACCACCTTTTGCCAGTCTATCGAAGAGTAAAGTTATGTGCTTCTTCAATCTACTAGTATCCTTGGGGATACATAATTGATTAAAAAGTGTAAGAGCATGGTCTTTCGAACTCTTGGACAGACATGTTTTTAACAAATGAGAGATAGAAGCATCCACACTTTCTTCCCAACCCTGCAAAAGAATCAGAAAAATATTTATAAATTAGACATGATTTACATAATGAATTTGCTTTATTGTGTTGGGTAAAAGAACAAAATTAAAATTAGCAAAATAAAAAAGAGTAAGGAAAAGACTGACATGCACAGAACCCTTAAATATTCAAATTCAATCAACGTTAACCCAGGGGTGTCAAACTCAATTTCATTGAGGGCCACATCAGCATTGCCGGGTGGGTGTGGTCAGGGTGGGTGCAGCCTACTGGGTGAGTGTGGGTGGAGTGGGTGTGGCCTATTGGGTGGGCATGGCCATCTCTACATCGTTCGCATCAAGGGTGCCTGTGGGGGCCTGGGCAGGAGTGGGACAGATCTGAGGGTCTCTGGCAGAAGTGGGTGGGACCAGGGCAAGTGCCAAGGCATGGTCCATTGGAGGAGCCTCACCATTCCTCTCAGGCCATGAGGGGGGAGACTGGATGGTGGTGCGGGCTGCCCGGAGCCCTGAGCAGCAGAGGTCAAACGCCCAGCCTGGCCTCGAGCATCTGCGGCACCAAGCCCAGCCCCACTTCCCCAGGGGGGCGCCCAGCAGCACTTGCCTTCTTCTCAAGGCTGCTGCTGCTGTTCTTGCTCTCCTTAGCCAGGTTGCTCATGATGGGTACGAGGGCAAAATCAGAGGGAGGCCCATTCCCTCTCCATGGGAGGAGACCCGGCTTTGTATCCAAAGCTTCCTTAGCAATAGGATGGGAGACCCCCAGGATAGTCCAGGAGGAGGGTGTAAGGGGATGGTGAAAGGACAGCAGGGCAGGACTAAGGCAGGACTTCCCTCAGACCCTCCCTCTCCTTCTTTCCTTCCTAAGTACAGAGTGGTGGGAAAATATTTGAGATGAGGGAAGGAGAAAAACAGGCAAGAAACGCAGCTGGGGAGGTGTCACCCTTCGTTAGGAATGAAGAAATGCACCATCGCCTGGAAGTGGCCAGCAAATGGCCCTCATCTACTTCACATATGCGGCTTAGTGGGCTCACAGCGCTGAGAGGTTGAGCCGGGTGGTGCGATGCTCGCCAGCTTTGAACCTTGCTACCTGCTGAAACTGGGCAGGCTGGGGGCTAGGCAGCATTGTAGTTCTCATCAGTTTCGCGCCACCCGGCTCAGCTCTTGGTGCTGTGAGGAGAGCGCCCCGCTGCCTGCCGAAACCAGGCAGGCTGGGGGCTGGGCATCGTCGTGCTTTTTGGGGATTTGTGCTGCCCAGTTCAGCTCTCACCGCTGTGAGGAGAGAGCCCTGCTGCCTGCCGAAACCCCTCCCCCGGAGCCCATCAAGCCAGATATGTGAAGTAGGCAATGGCCATTTGTTGGCCACTTCCAGGCGATGGTGCATTTCTTCATTCCTCACAAAGGGTGACACCTCCCCAGCATGCACCCAGGGGGCGTGGCCGACACGGCAGGGGCTGGTTCCTCGCTGTTTCCAGATGGCCTTGTGGAGCTAAGACTGAATGCATTTCAGCATAGATGGCCACCATGAAATTGTACATTGGCTCCCGGCTGGCCTGGGCCAGGGCCAAGGCAGCGGGGGCCGTTTCCTCACTGTTTCCAGGATGGCTTCACGGGCCACATGAAACCACTTCGCGGGCGGCATCCGGCCCCTGGGCCTTGTGTTTGACATGTCTGCGTTAACCCATTTAAAATTCCTTGTGTGTCTAATCATACTTGGCTAAATAAAGTATTTAATTCAATTCAGTTTAATAATACTGGTTTTGTTGTTTTTCTTGGTAAACTAGTTTTTCCATTCTTTTTGTGGGATTTGTTTTGACATAAATAAGAATGTGTTTGATTCACACATTAACAGATAACTCTATCACATTAGCAAATGTTAAGATATATTTTACCTGGCTAATTTTTTCTCCTATCTTCAAAATGAAATTGTGTTAACCATCTAACTATTAGAGCACGAGTGCTTTGCTTCCTGAAATATGAGGCATAACTCTTCCTACAATGTATCCATCCTAAAAGCATTAAAATCTAAATATATAACTCTGATTCATGTTTCCTTCACATTACTTTGTTTGGAGTTTGCTTTTAGCTCTGTGGAGAATTTACCATGTCAGGTACTGGCTAAAAGTAATTTTCATAGATGGTTTAGTAGATTTATTTTCTTTGTGGAAAAAAATTGAAGCCAATGCTCCAACATTGATTGATTCATTTCAATCCTTGATCATTCTTGCTACCCCAAACCCCTTATAGAGCTCAGAGTGCTTTATTTGCACCTACAGAAGAGACTTAAGTCCTTCAACCTTTAAAACAGAAATTTGTTCTGTAGACTATTCTCTAAACCAAATATATTTTAGAAATTATTTCTGTTCCTTGTAGGAAAACGTATCTTTGCTAGTCCAGCAAAGTTGGACATTTTACTTTCAAAAATATTGGAAGGAAATTAGAGCAATAGTCCTATTCAAAGTATTTATGTTCATGTTTGTATGATGCTACAGTCACTTGTGTGTTGTACTTTTTATATTAGCAGTCAATTCAATCTAATATTTCCATTCCTCTTAACAAGTGGTCAGACTCACCTGCAAAGGAGGTTGTTTATTATTTTATTAGGAAAATCAGTCTATTGATAGATAACTAAATTCTGATTCATTGCAATTGCTATCAAGAAGTGTTTGATTTAGTGGTCTTTTTATGAGTCTCCTTATATTGTTTTCCCTCCTGTATTATTTGACTCTGATACTATGTTATAATTGAATTCCCTTTTGGGAGGGAGATTTTGAGAGAAAATTCTCAACTATTAAGAAAAAAATAGTTAACATAGCTGTCACAGCTGTCACTGTGATTTGTACTAAAACGGTATTTTGACAGCCAAATCATAGTCATCAATAGCTAATATATAGAGATTATATAGCTAATATATAGAGATTAGTAAGCAGATGTCTTACTATTACAAGATAGCTTTAAAGGTTAAAAAGTAATGTACATGAGGAAGATTGAAAGTGTTTTTTAAAAAAACTCTGTGCTAACTTTATTATGAAAATGTGTTGTCTACTTTAGAAGCTTTATACCCACACAATTTTTCTATAAAGCTTATAAAAGAATTTGTTACAAATATTTTAAAAAGTAATCACCTATATGCATATGTACAAAACATATAAATGTATTATTATAATTTATTAATATATTTTGATATTGAGAGAACAATTTAAGAAATATGGACAAAATCTATATATATTTTTCATTTGTGAAACTATATTAGATAAAAACTTTTCTCTGACTTATATCTGTAGTTTATATGTACAAAATCAATTACCAATAGATAAACTAGTTCTATAATAGTGAAAAAAAGATACATGAAAACTACATGAGTTTCAAGAGTTTAAGAGATTTACTTTTTGGATTTCAGCATTTTCTTTTTCCTCTGAATATACTGCCAATCCATGAATACTACAGGAGATAGTTCAGAAAGGGAGAATTGCTCTTATTCAGGCCATGGAAAGAACTTGATCTATCATCACCCCTTCTAAGCAGCTGCATCAGAGAATGCTGAGATATATTTTTATTATTTACCATTTTAAAAGGTGGGAAAGCATTATATAACTGGTTTACTCATTTCACTATTTGATTAGAAGTATACATTTCACTATTTTACTAGAAATATAACATTTAGAATAAATACTGCCTAAGTGGGGGAAACTACGTGAATTCTTTATTACCAGTATTTATTAAAAAATATAAATGCTTTTTTTCAGAGAGTGGGGGGAAGACATGCACAAATCCATAGACATAGTACTTTCCATTTCTGATACTCTATTTTTTAACATGCAGACTTTGTTCTTCAAGTTTAGAACGAAAATGGGAATCAAAGAGCACAAAAATATCTCAGATACTGGCTGGCTTATTTTGGCATGTGCTTTCATAATCAGAAGTTACTTAAGTAGACATATAAAGTTGACTGAAAATTCGGTTTATAAGCATCTTAAAATATGTACATTGAAAGATAAACCATATTATAGCAAAAAAATTAACAATGTATTATTATATTCATTATATTCAATATATTTGTATTTCTATACTCACTTCTTGGGAAGTAATTTCTATGAAACTCACTAAAAACTTTCTGGATGGGTTAAACAGTTAAAAGTACAATACAAACCAATGTATAAATTGTAAACACTGTCCCCAAAGACCCCCTCCAAGATAGAAGCCTCTAGCAAACAATTGGGATTAAAAGCTCTAAAATAGCTCTGAAACAGGTCTATTGAAGTTTTATATAAGATAAAAATTTAAGTAGACATACTAGAACTATAAGTTAAATATATATATATCTTTGAGGTCTGCATAACATGTGAAAGACAGATCACTACAAAACAGATTTTCAATAATAATTGATTAAATCTAAACAATAATTATGGATAATAAAATATTTTACTATAATTTTTACTATATTATAAATTATCATTTAAATAATGCTAATTTCCTCTGACAGAAAATTAGGATTTTCCTTTAAATGGAAAAATATTTTCTTTCTTACATTTTTTTTTGTTCTGGACAAAGATGTACACAGTTCAAATACTGAGATGTCATGTCTCAAAAAGTACAAATTCTAACAACTCAGTGCAATGCAACAATTATAAAAGTCAATTGCAGGATAAAAAATTGTTGTTAAGATGTATTATTATTATTTATTTAGACAATAAAATACATGTAATACAAAAATAAAACTATAGTTCTATTTTAATAGGATAAATTTTCTAAAGAATATTATTCTGTTTGAGGACTATTATGTCACAGATATCTGCTTTAAAGATTAACCATAAAAATCTTTGTTTATTTTTAAATTTTAAAATGAAGTTTTCTTATTAAATGAACTTCAGATAATAAGATATCTGATTAATTCAAACTGTTCAATGTAAGAGACAAAAGTATCTATTACTGAAAAATTTCCACACTAACTTGCTATAATGAACAGATACTTGAGTTTTTATCTGTTTTGCAAGCAATCTACCTCTCCAATACATTGCAATATTTTGCCT